TATTATTATTATTATTATTATTATTATTATTATTATTATTATTATTATTATTATTATTATTATTATTAGGGGACAGAGCTTTTTCTGTTGCTGCTCCAGGACTGTGGAACAATCTCCCTCTTCCCATCAGACAAGCCCCTTCACTGTCCAGTTTTAAAACTCTTAAAAACAAATTTTTACTCACTGGCTTTTAGCACACACTGAATTTTGCTCTGCACTGTTTTTTTTATTTATTTTTTTATCTTAATGTTTTAACAACTTTTTTTATGTGTTTAAATGTTCTTGATTTTATATGTACAGCACTTTGTGGCAGCTGTGGTTGTTTTAAAGGGCTTTATAAATAAAGCATTGTTATTATTATTATTATTTATTTATTTATTTGTTTATTTCAACTGCTTCCTTCTTCAGGGGTTGCCACAGCAAACTAACTCACACGAAGACTTGGCGATTGCTTTAACGCCAGATGCCCTTCCTGACACAACCACAGACCACCGAGCTACCACAGCCCTCTGTGTGGAGCAGAGAGCTGCCATCTAGGGTGCCCAGGGGAGCAGATGGTGGGGTTAATGGTCTTGCTCAAGGGCCCAGGGTGGGGCAAATGAGGGTGGAGGCAGGCGTGGGTGTCTCACCTTTCCCACCCACATTTTGATGTTGTTGTTCTGGGGAGTTGAACCAACAACCTTCCCATCACAGGCCCACCTTCTCTAACACCATACCCCCTCATATGTTGTAAACTGCAGGGAAATCAGTGTTCTTTGCATATGAAAGTTTTAAGCAAAACTCTTACATGATCTGCCAAGATGGCCACGCTCTCGGGAGCCGCAACTTCACAGGCTCCTGGTGCGATCCCAGTTTTTAGGAGTTTTGAAATTGACTCCAGACCTGACTCTGCACGCTTTATGCATTAGAATTATAGCCGAACCAAACTGATGAGAATAAGAGTGGAGTTACCATGGAATACAGCAGCGATCAGCAACAATCTCAATTCGGCAGAATGTAGGGCTGGACAATAATTTGATACTGATATATGTTGCAATGTACTTTTATTCAATAACAGTGATATGAGTTTTAAGCACATTTTCGATATTTTAATATGATTACAGAGTTTCACTGACACATTTCTTTTTCTATTCGGGTTGAAGCGGCCACTTCATTTTCAACCCGGACAGAAAAAGGTGTGGCACAACTACGTAAGTGTGTGATGACATAGATGTTACGCAGAGCTCAAGTCCAGAAGGTGTTAGTGGTACCAGGCTAGGCTAATCTCTAATGAGCATTAAGTTTTCGCTTTAAAATGAATGCCTATGACCGTCTGAATGTGACTGAACAAGCTTTCACAAGCAAAGAGAAAGCAGATGGCATAATAGATAAGAGAGGAAAGACTAGGCGGTTTGGAAGTGATTCAGCAGAAGTTTACTGCACATGTTAGGTTATGTTGTTGTTTAAAGTTAAAATTATTAATATTGACAAAGTTGAGAGTTTTATGTTTATTTGATGGTGATTTCAAATTTCTTTGAAGGCTAAATACAATTAAAAGGTGAACATTAATTTATTTGTACAGTTTGTACAGTTTTTCAGAAACTTTTATGTTGTTTACATCGATATCGAATTATATTGTTATCGACCGCAATTAAGAAATATATTGTGATAAAAGTTTTGGCCATATCGTCCAGCCCTAGCAGAATGCAGATCTTAAAGTCGCCTACATGGAAGCTTCAGCAAGGGCGCCCAAACGAGAAGGCGCTGCTCCTGGCTGAAGAAGCGAGGTTGCTGGATGGGGGTGCTAATAAGGCTAAAAGCTAACGCTAAGGCTGGCAGACTTGGGACCCTGTGTACACAATTTCGTTCCATCACATGTACCACATGTGGTGCGTATGACAAATAAAGAAACTTTGACTTTTATCTGTTGATCCTTAGAAATGTGTTTGGGTGTAAATCTAAGCTTTTACCATTTCAAATTCAGATCAATATCAGCAAAACTGATTGAGTTAAAGCCATTTTTGCAATTGCTGAAGTCAGTTAGCAATGACATCCATTCTGAGATAGGATGTCTCCAAAAGTTAATCCTTTATAGATGCACATCCAATGAGTACTTGGTGCAAGTTTCATTAAAATCCAACTAGTGGTTCATTAAATATTTTAACAGACAGACACACGTGAACACAGGCGGATACATTATGGTGTGCCTTTGCTTACCATTAAACACATTCTTGGGAATATGAGGTATATGTTAGGTGGTAACTTTGTTCAGTGATTCATTTTGTGTCGATAAACATTTTAGATGGATGGATGGATGGATGGATGGATGAATGGATGGATGAATGCATGGATGGATGGATGGATGCTTTATTATCCCCAAGGGGATATTTGTCTTGGACATTTTATGTTCTGATAGGGTACACCCCTGACAGGACCAACACAGAGACACATGAAAACATCAACCATTCATGTGCACACACACACACACACACACACAAAAGCTTTAATTAGAGTCTTTAATGAACTTTTGCCTAATAACTTGTTCCTGGATTGTGGGAGAAAACCCGAATACCTGGAGAAAACCCTGCATGTTTGAGGAGAACATGGAAACACACGTTTGAAACCCAGAGCAATCTGATTGTGAGGCAACAGTGCTAACCAGATATGTCATCATGCAGCACCAGTTTGTCCATATTCTCACAGATGCACACCTAGATTGGAGATTGGACACTGTGGTTCAACATCTAAGTGTGGTGGGGGAAGCTGGCAACAAGCTGCCAACCTTCTGATTGTCAGACTAATGCTCTTGCTCATGAGCCCAGTAAATCTCAAACAAATTGCTTTGCACAGCTGATGTCTAAAGAGTTCACAAAGATTCTGCCATTGAGTAAATATTTTTATTTTAGTCTGTGTATGACAAAAGTTGTGTAGCTTTGTGATTCAGATTAACTGAATAATTGTTGCAGTTGATTCTACTGCACAACCCTTTTTCACCTGTAAGAACATAAAAGACCCTGACATGACTCACTGAGTTTGAAAGGAAAACTTTGAAGGGTTGTCACCGGAAAAGTGTTGAAAGAATGTGCCGATCAGCTCTGCGAGGTGCTGGCAGACATCTTTAACACCTCACTTACCCTGGAGACAGTTCCCACCTGCCTGAAGACTGCCACCATCATCCCAGTCCCAAAAAGCTCTACAGTGACTGGTCTGAATGACTATCGGCCAGTGGCCCTCACCCCGATAGTCGCTAGATGCTTTGAAAAACTGGTCATGACTCACATCAAAACAAATATCAACATCAACAAGGACCCTCATCAGTATGCATACCGTTAGAATCGATTAACAGAGGACGCGATCTCCTCTGTGGTCCACACTGCGCTCAATCACCTGGAGCAGAAAGACACTTACGTTGTATGCTCTTTGTGGACTTCACATCCGCCTTCAACATCATGATCCCCCAAACCCTGATGGACAAACTATTCACACTAGGACTAAGCCCTCCATTTGCAACTGGGTACTAGACTTCTTAACAAGCAGACCACAGTCTGTGAGGATCCACAACTTCTCCTCCTCCACCATAACCCTCAGCACTGGCTCTCCTCAGGGATGTGTGTTGAGCCCCCTCCTGTATACTCTGCTCACGTATGATTGTGCAGCTACCCATCCAGGCTGTCACATTGTAAAGTTTGCAGATGATACAGCGGTGGTGGGATGCATCACAAACAAAGATGAGTCCAGCTACAGGCAAGAGGTGGAACACCCGGAGAGCTGGTGCAAAGAGAATAACCTTCACATCAATGTGAAGAAGACATAGGAGATGATTGTGGACTTCAAAAGGAACAAACACACCTACACCCCCTTGAACATGAGAGGATCTGTGGTGGAAGTGGTCTCCAGCTACAAGTACTTGGGTGTACACATGAATGACAACCTCAGCTGGGGCAACAACACCACCAGCCTGATCAAGAAAGCTCATCGGAGACTTTACTTCCTCAGACGGCTGAGACGAGCTGGTCTGGGAAGCTCAGTCCTCACCTCCTTCTACAGGTGTTCAGTGGAGAGCATCCTGTGCTCCAGCATCAACGTGTGGCATGGAGGCTGCACAGCTGCAGAAAGAAAAGCTTTGCAGAGAGTGGTGAAGGCTGCACAGAAGTCTGTTGGAGTCAGCCTCCCCACCATCACAGACATCTACACCTCCAGCTGTAGGAAGAGGGCTACCTGCATTATGAAGGACCCCACTCACACAGCAAACACACTTTTTGCCCCGCTCCCCTGAGGACGGAGGTTGAGGAGCATTAAATGAGAACCACTAGACTGAGAAACAGCTTCTACCCTGAGGCTGTTAGACTCATGAATCTTTAACGAGAATAATCACTGTGAAAAAATCACATCATGTTGCTGCTGATCTGTTTCATGTTGTGTTCATGCATGCTTATCTGCTCACACAGACTCATGTTCATGTTTGTGCTGATGTTCGACATAATGTTTGTATGCTATTAGTGCTTAGTGTATGTTTAGTTGATGTTTCTCTTATTTCATATCTTATTACTGTTTTTCTTATATTGTTGGATGTGACTGGGACCCTGTGTACATAATTTCGCTGTACCACATGTGGTGCGAATGACAATAACGAATCTCTGACTCTGACTCTCTGGCTAAAACTGTTGGGGTCACATTACTTTATAAATGGAACTGGTCGTTTATACTGTTCTACATGTTTTAATGCATTTAAATGTAATGCCAAAAAAAACAACTGTTATTTCTGGCTCCAAACCAACTTTACAAGAACTGGACCAAAAAAAAAAAAAAAAGGACTTGGTAATTTACTTTATTTTATTTTATTTCTCAGGTCCAGAGGGTCTTGGGTTCAGCATCACATCTAGAGATGTCCCTATTGGTGGAAGTGCTCCCATTTTCATCAAAAACATCCTTCCTCGAGGGGCTGCCATCCAAGATGGTCGACTGAAAGCAGGAGACCGACTGCTGGAGGTCAGGCAGAATCTGCAAACAACCTGAGAACACCAAACCGTTTTGTAGTGTTCAGGGAGGTTGTCAGATACTTCAGGGACTAATTGCTCCTTGGCTGATGTGGCTTTGTTTCACTTTCAGTCTTTGTAGAGCTTTTGTTAGAACGAGTCAAACTCCACATTTCCTACATCTGTTACCAGTTTAACCACAGCTGGAGTTTTTATTCAAATGTCATTAGTTAACATAATATTATGATTATATAGCAGTCAGACTGAAATAAAAGTCAGTTGTGCTCACTTTAGACAACATGAACTCTTGTTTAATCCCAGTTTCAGATGACATGGACTCTAAACTGAAAATTTCAATTCAACTCAGTGTATGGGCACTGAACAGAAACATTTGCATACATAAAAAGTAAGTTAATAACATTATTTATCTGAGGAGCAGACTGCTTTGAATTTAACTCCATTGCTGAACTCTCATCTTGAACAACCATGAAGGTGACAGTGGAAAGGAAAACCTCCCTCATGAGGAAGAAACTTTTATCAGAACCAGGCTCAGGACAAGCGACCATCTGCTTCAAATTTTAAGAGGACACATTTTTATACATACTGTATGTTGTTTACCCTATCTCCATCTGTGTGTTAGTGTATTTGTGTGCATATGTGTGCAGGTTAATGGAGTAGACCTGAGTGGAAAGAGCCAAGAAGAAGTGGTGGCTCTGCTTCGCGCTGCTCCCATGGGGGGGCTTGTGAACCTGTTGGTGCTTCGGCCTGAGGACTCCCTGCTGCCACGAGAAGTAGTCAGTACTCTGCTAACACATCCTTTTTTTATTCCCAATGTGTTCACTGCACCTTTCACGTTTGCAATACTTCCTTTAGCCACATTTCAGTTCAGATGGAAAATTTGCCACAATGTAAAACAAAATAAAACGGACAATGGTTGGTCTGTGCAGAGTCTTAACGATGTCTTTGGTGGTGATCTAAGACTGTATCAGACTTTTTCATTGTGCATGATAGGCTGTGAAGGGTACACAATTTCTGTAGTGAGGTTATAGTGGTTTGTCAATGGCCAACTGAGTCAGTCGGAATCAGAGATTCTTTATTGTTGTTCCACTACATGTGGTACATGTGGTGGAACAAAATTATGTACACAGGGTCCCAGTTACATCCAACAATAAAATGTAGAAGAACACAATGATAACATCTAAGATATGAACTAAGAAAAACATCAACTAAAAATACACTAAGCACTAATAGCATAAAAAAATTATGTCGAACATCAGCACAAACATGAGCATGAGTCTGTGTGAGCAGATGAGCACGCATGAACACATCGACATGAAACAGATCATTGGTTATGCACTGTAACCCCAGATTCTATGAGTATAGGCACAGCCATTTAAGGCTATCGCTAGTTGGTTTATCCCTTCGCGCGCAGCGCAGCACTGAAAACTTAAGTCCACGCCCACCTACTGTGTGGGCCTGACCCCCAGTCAATATAAATTACGGTGAGACCAGGTAATCAGCTCCCAAATAGCTTTTTTCTTCAGCCATTTAGGAACCAGTGAGGCCCAGAGCTTAAAGGGCTGCACCTATACTCATAGAATCTGGGGTTACAGTACGTAACCAACGTTCTATTTTGTATAGGTTTCGCCCTTTAAGGCTATCACTAGTGGCTTAAAGGCGAAGCAGGCTGTAGTCTATGCCTCACTGGGTCCACTCAGACACAACATGAAGCACCTGCTTGCACAAAAAACATTTTATCACTCAGCCTTCTATGTGCTTAATTATGCGCTGCGTAATTGCGTTCTCCATGCGCAGCAGCGCACCGAAGAAAAGATCTCTGGAGAGGAAAAGAGGCTGAAATAGCAGACCAGCTGCTGTGAATAGGAACAACGGAGGATACGAATTGTAACAGTGTAACGATGAACAGAGTAGACCAACAGCTCCTCAGGATGAACCGATTAATAACAATAAAATCAGCAGTCATGAACTTGTGACTGATAATAAATATCTCACACTGTATTAAAAAAATACAATGAGAGGAGACATTGCCCTCATCCCGGCAGACCCAGTCTGTGGATATTCCAGCCGCAGCACGTGCGGCGCACCAGCTACACACTCGGGGTGAGGACGGATCAGATAGTCACATTTACGCACAGAGGTGGTGCGCCGAGTTCTTGTCTTCTCCTCCTCTCCAAATATTGTCCCTCCCCAGCATGGCCGCGCACTGAAAAACACCCCCTCTCTCCTCCTCTCAGACCCCCGAAACAGAAACGATAATTTATTCAACAGAATAAATTCCCTGTGGACAGTGCACATTACGCACAAAAACGTCTCCAATCTCTACCCAGCGCATGCACACATCAGCAGGTGTCTGAACTCCTGGTACATTTCAGACATAATAAATAAAAAAAGCATACTGTAAAAAAAAAAAAAAAATACAAAAAGAGAAATGTTTGATGTTATTCACATTATATGTCACATTTAAAAACAACGGAGCTAATTTTTCAAAATAACAACAGCAATCAAAATGTCAAAGAGACAGTCCAATTTACTTTAATTTAAAAAAAATGAATGGATGGATGGATGGATGGATTGATTGATGGCAGAGAAACGCTACCAACAGACTACAGAGAATTGAAGCCTTCAGGTGTTTCAAATGGTGCCACGAGACTGGAGCAAGTGCGGAGAAGAGTTCAGCTCAGAACCGTGAAGTGAAGGGAGGGAGGAGCGGGGTTTAGGATACCTGACAGAATCAGAACTGTTGCACACAACCTGCTGGTCCTCTCCAAAATAATAATTTGATTAAGTGTTTACAAATGTAGGTAAATGTTGATGTATAACAACTCGTTAAAATACACCAAATTGCAGGAAATGGCATCCTTGTTATTCAAAATTTTTTGTGAGAGGATACACAGACACCTGGGAGGAAGTGATTCCAGGTGTTCAGCTTGCTGTAACAGCAAGTCTATAAACAAGCAACAGAGGAGAAAGGTTGCCCTCTAGTAAGAGAACCCCTAGAAATCACTGGATGTAACAAGTGTCAAGTCACAACAAAAGTCATCTCAGGGCACTGAAGAGAGACCTTCACAAACATTAAAAAAGCCAATTAGTAAAGTTCTGTATCTAAGAACGCAGCAGACTCATTGAATCTTCACTTCATCGCAGTCTCCCATCCAGAGCAAGCACAAAGGAGAGAGTGGAAAGGAAAAACTCCCTTTAAACCAGAAGAAATCTCCAGCAGAACCAGGTTCAGGACAAGCAGCCATCTGCTTTGTCAGGCTGGGTTTGAGAGGAACAGGAAGTAGAAACAAACAGAATGGCAGGTCCAGAATGGAGACAAGCAGGCCCCTCTCTAGGAAGAAAGACAAAAAAACATGTTAAGATAGAAAAAATTACAAATACAAATTAAAGCTGCAAGCAGTGTTGAAGGCTCTTGCAGCCAAGCGCTGCTTCAGCCATATGGCGACCGCAGGAGTTCCTTGCATGACCCTTTGACCCAAAATGGCCAACCTCCTGTTGGGTTCAGGGCATACAGAAACAATTACAAATACAGAATATTCATTTGTATTCATTTGTAGCTATTCAATTGATGAAATGAGGTCAATTTGTCCTCCAGCAGTCTAAGCCTATAGCAGCACAACTAAGGAATAGCTCAGGAAACCCAAGCCAACCCTAATTATAGGATTTATCAAAAAGGAGAGTCTTAAGCCCAGTCTTAAAACTGGACAATGTGTCAGCCTCATGGACAGAAATTGGAAGTTGGTTCCACAAGAGAGGAGCCTGATAACTGAAAGATCTTCCTCCCATTCTGCTTTTGGAAACGCTAGGAACCACAAGTAAACCTGCAGTCTAAGAGTGAAGTGCTCTGTTAGGAAAATATAGTACAGTAAGATCTGTAATATAAGATGGAGCTAGGTTGTTGAGAGGTTTGTAGGTTAGAAGTAATATTTTGAATTCAATTCTGGATTTGACAGGGAGCCAATGGAGAGAAGTTAAAACTGGAGAGATATGATCTCTCTTACTAACTCCAGTTAAGACTCTGGCAGCAGCATTTTGGATTAATTGAAGACTGAAGACAAGGTGTGAAGAGATCTTTTTTTCTAATGCCACTACCCTTTCCTCGTGGCTTTGTCCCTTTTTCTATCTAAAAAATGTATTCTGAATAGGAATAAGAAGGCCGCGCTTTTTAGCAGCAGCTTCGTGCACGCATCTTTCGGACGGCTGTACGTACATGTTCTCATTGTATCTCGGTGCAATGATAATAAAGCTTATTCTAATTATGACTTTTTAAAGAAGTATTTGGACACCCAGATAACAAACCGTTGTAATAGTCCAGTCTAGATGTGATAAATGTACAAACCAGTTTTTCTGCATCATTTTTAGATAAGATGTTTCTAATTTTAGCAATATTACGCAGGTTGAAGAAGGCAATTCTAGTAACATTTTTAATGTGGGGGTTAAAAGACATGTCCTGATCACAAATAACACCAAGATCTTTAACATTAGAACTGGAGGCCAGATTAATGCCATCCACATAATTACAGATTTTACCATATACAGACACAACTGGCAGCATCTCCACACTGCATAGAGACACTTTAAAAAGAGGATGCACACATTAGTAAACTTTGTTATATTTACACACAGGCAGACAGTGACACATGCACAGACACACACATACACACACACTTCTGAGACACGCATTCAACATACAGGGTGACTTTGGCTGTCGTGCAACAGATGGCGAGGCTACTGCCCTTGTCCAGTCTGCGCTCAGCGGCTCTGACAGTGGACTCTGGTGTCACGGCGCCTCAGCAGAGCAGAAAAAAGTTTTATGCCATCTTCACTTCTTCCCATAATACTCAGCCAGGCACCGAGGTTGGTAACCCTGCCATAATCGCTGTTCAACCTGTACAATAATGAACACTTCAGACAATTTACTGAAGAAATACTTCTACAGTTATTTTTTTTTCACTATTTTCTAATTCCTGTTAAGTAGTAAAATGGATACATTTGATTTTTTCTTTATGTTAAATGGTAAATGTACTGTACTTAGATAGCGCCTTTCTATCTTATGGAGATACTCAAAGCGCTTTACACTACAATCTGTGCCTCATTTATCCATTCATACAGCACTCAACT